ACGCACAACAGGTCGGTCTTCTGATAACCGAGGCGATATTCAACGTTTCCGGCGAAGCTTACATCGGCTGGAAGGTGTCCCGGGTCAACCGAGTAACACTCCATTGGATCCTACACACTTTGGGTCTGGGATTAGTATTAATCGGGCTGATCATCATCGTGGTGAACAAGACGGTCAACAACCATCCACATTTCATGACGCCTCACTCGATCCTTGGCTTGGTCAGCATCATCCTTGCGTTTTTCACAGCGGCGTTCGGCATCGTTACCAACAACTCCAGGTGGTTGTATCCGCGGTTCAGGCCGGTTCTCTTGAAAATCGTGCACGCGTTCGGCGGCATCGTCGTGGCGATCCTCTTGCTCGCCACGTTGATCACGGGGACATATACGAGATGGTGGCCTGGCGGCTACACTGGAAGAAGCCTGACGTTCACGGCGTTCTTCATTGCTGGCTTTTTTATCCTTCTGAAGCCGGTTCTCGGCGCTGTCTCGAGGAGCAGAGTGGTCTTCGGCCCGCCACCTTCTGCCACCACGTAATAATAATCGCTCCGATATATGTACACCGACAATGCAAGCTTTTCTTATTCTCTTTCGTACCGTTGATGGATTTCAGTTGGCATATCCAACTGGGATAATTGAGAAGTTCATTTCTAAGCAATGGTATCGGACACGTGCATTGTTTCGCTGAAATGTTTCAAACTGCTGCGATGATACGCAGAAATTATTTCACGATTTCACACGATCGATGCGACGAAGAAACGATGAATTAACGATAGATTTCGTGAGTATATCTTTTCTTATATGCGCGTGTAATTGAGAAACATGCTGCAAGATCTTCAGATGATCTTTAATTGGAATCGCATGACTGTATTGTATTTTTTCGAATTAGAAAGTTAATGTTACGTGACTTTTGAATGAAATTCTTCGTTAAAGAGAAGTAAGTAAAGTAAAAAGTAATTTTCAACGAAGAGGAAATTCGAGAGAACAACAAGTAAAATATTATTTGTATCATCGCAGAAGAAAATATTTAAGTGTCTTGTTTTAACTGAAACGTCCTGTATATTTGTAGCTAACGATACTGTGCTACATAAGTGCAATATTATGCATTGCACAGTGTAGTATAGTATTGTTTTATGGCAATGCAACGATTGCTGCCGTAACATTGTATATTATACCGCATATCGTTGCAGCAATATTGTATAGTTTACTGTACAATATAAAAATATAACAGCATTGAATTTTGTCAACTAACATAATGCTATGGAACATTTCCTATATCGTATAACGTAATGAATGAATAAACTAGTATAGTAGAGCTCCATTTGTACGAAAATTTGTACGAAATGTTTCATATAATAGTAACATTGATTTCTCGTTCAAAAACAATAAGAGTTCAGGTTATTTCATTCAGTAATAATTAAAATTTCGCTTCGAACGAAATTTGATATTCTATTGTATATGTTAACAGAATACATATCTACTGTATACTGTAATATACAATATTACAGTGATATCTCGCTGTACTATATAATATAATATAATATAATATAATATTATCTAGTAAAGGGAAATAATTTCGACGCTTTTATCTGAATGTACGATAAATAATCGGGGCCTGAAATCGATTCAAGTGCACGAGTGTGTTCAGAGTTTATCTAAAGTCTTTGGAATGAAACGCGGTTTGTTTACTACGGTATTCCAGATTCGATCGACGACAGCAACTAAAGATTGATCTAAAAAGTCACTTTTCATTGGAATTTCTGTGGGTGAGACGTCTTTATCGTGTCACGTAATTAGATAAAATCTAATCGTTTTCATTGCAATAATTGGATCGTCCGTCAAGTTGAAAACTTTATGATTCACGATTTGAAGATTCAGTGACTTCTTCGTTGTTTCGAGCAAAACGAAAAAAAAAAAAAAA